GTTTTATGCCGTCATGCTGCTACAGTTATATTAAAAATGGCAATAATTAGTTTAATATATTAAGCAGTACGAAGTATGTTGTTGTTATGTACAAAGTATGTTGTTATATACCATTTGAGTTACGTCGTTATGTGCAAAGTATGTTGTCGTTTATGGAACAGAAGTTCTTTGAGCTACTGTTTTCCCATATCTTCAGTTAAACTGCAAATAATATAACTAAATCCTCATAACATAAAAAGAACATAACTAAAATTCCCTTTTTTATTTTGTGATGACCTTAGCTTTATTTTAATCGGATACATAACTATTTGTCAAAGCAGGCAAAAGAAATATATTTTCATAATCACAATAAAAATAATGATTTTTCTAATTCAATAACTTCAGTTGGAACAAAAAATCACATTATCATCGAGAAGTGGTCGAGTAATATCTAATAATAAACTTTAATATAAATAACCGTAAATCCATAGAGAATATGAAACAATTACTTTTTATATTTTAAACTTAACGTATTTAAAAATAATTTTCCTTATTTAAAATTTTTATTTTCAAGTTATTAAAATAACAATATGCTGCATTTTCTATTTATTTATTCAACTGATAATTTTAAAGTTAATAATATTTCAGCTTTCTCTGTTTTTATTCTTTTCGACTTATATCTTAGTAAGTTTGACTTATCTAGAAAGCATATCAGAAAGAAATGTTTGAAAAACAGTAATGATATTCTCTAACATAATAATAATAAAAATTTTTAAATACTTATTTTTAAGAATTTTTATTTGCAAGTTTTAAATATCACTTTTCTGAATCTCGTACTTATTTATAAAATTCTAAAGTATACTCTAAAGTAAAATTCTAAAGTATTATAAATTTATAAATGTTAGAGTATTTCAGTTCTTCAGTTTTTGTTTGTTGTTGTTGTTTTATTGTCTTGGTACTGCATTTTAATAAGGTTTGTTAATGAAAAATTAACGTTAATTAGTAAAATTTAATGAAGGTTAGTAAAACTTCTTTCTCATTAGAGGAAAAATTACACAGAAAATCTGTTAATGTGAGTATAATTTGCGAATAAAAAATGAATAAAAGAGACGGATAAACATAGAATTAATTCAACGAGTTAATAATAACACAAGCAAATTAGAGAATGTCTTAATCGAAAGTAGATGACAAAGGTTACAAAAATGAGATATGAAGAAAACGAGAATTAATATCTAAATAATAAGCATGGCCTGTAGAAGAAATTGCGATCTCGGCCTTTATTTAGAACGTCAAAAGACAAGAAGACTATTTTTATAACACAGGTTTTCCAACTTTGCTTCAGGTCAGGATTAAAAAACAACATACATTAGAGAAAGGATAGATTCTTTTCAGGGATGACCCAGAGTACTTTTCTAAAGGGGATTACCTGCCTGCATTTATATTATTTCGAAATCTGAAATAAAATGAATGAGATAGTTGGCATTTTTTGAGTACACATTTTGCGGATTTTCCTAATAAAAACACAATTAAACCGTTTTCACAATGGTGTGAAAGAGTTTCATCCAAAAATATTTGCATTTTCAGGCGTAGATTTAATAATCATAATAATTTGTAGAAAAATAGTTTTAACATATTTATTATATAGCTTAGGTTAGTTATGTGAACGTAGCAAAGCACACGAGGATTATCTGCTTAAAGAGAAGGATGCATCTTTATATTTATTATAGAAGTACCTGTAGCTAGGAACATATTTGACTTTTTTTTTTTTTTTTTTTTTTTCGGTGAATTAAATCACAAAAGCCCAGATTTCTAATCCTGTCTGACGATGTTTTTCTAAGAAAGATAATTGATATACTAGCTGCTTTAAGAGCCTTGAAGCGGTTGTGAGAGTACTACATGTATACGTAAAAGAAAGGATTTGCATTTAAATCGAATTTCAAATTAAGCCTGTTAAGAATTATTTCTTTGAATCTTGCAAAAATTATTATTATTTCTGTATAACATTAATTAAAGGTTTTATTAATTAAATTTCATATAATTCTTTTTAGCTGAATGGGGCAATTTGCACAGAAGGGCTATTAATTTCGTTTTTGCATTTTACGACGTCAACTATAAAACGGCGTTTCACTTTTCAAAATGTTGCCACCAAATATTAGAGCCCTGTATTATATTTAAAGAAATTAAGTAATGAAGAATCTACACAAATATATGTATGTTTCTCGCATTGTAATAAAACGACTGTACCTAGAGCCATCCAGTTTTGAATCACGTACGTTTCCACCGGAATATGGGCATCTGGAAAATCCAAATTTGAAATCTGTTTTATTATCTATTTCATATTTTGTAAAAGTTTGACGAATTTTTACTTCCTTGGTACGAAGTAAAAAGGAAGTATTGTAATCGCGAAAAGTTTCAGCAGCATATTTCAACGAAAATATCCATTTTGACCGCAATCGAATGCAATTTAACGATGTTTTTGCGTGATATCTGTGCGTAAGGACAGAATAAAAGACTCTTTCCTTCCAAAAAAATTATAAAACTGCTTTAAAATGAATTCTGAAGAGAATTTTTCGTGGCGTCTGTACGTACGTACATGTTTCGCATAACTCAAAAACGAGTAGCCTCAGAACGTTGAAATTTTGCATATAGGACTGCTATAACATGTAGATGAGAACCTGGTATTTTGGTTGTAATCGGCCGCACCAAACGTATATAAATATATTTATACATATATCCACTCTGTTACCCGGCTCAGTGATCTCAGTTTCTTTATTCTTATATGTTTGTAAATTGTATATTTTTTGCTTTAAAAATGATTGATTTATGTTGTTTTTATCTTCCGGTTAAAGTTCTTATGTCTTTAGTAAATCTGTATTCAATATTTTTAGAATTATCAACAATTTTAAAGTTGTTTGAGTGCCGCTAAGCCTAATAATTTTTTTGATGGCGGCCATTGCTTGTTTACATTTGAAACAGCAGAATAGCAGATTTGTTGCCAATCTAGAGAAACTTAGCTTCGCAACAACAAAGATAACGCCTTCATTTATTATTGCGAATTAAATCATGCTTAATCCTTTCTGGAATTTTTTCGAGGAAATAAGTGCTTAAGATTTACTTCGTAATTTTTAATACAGATATTTTCAGTTTATGTATTTTTTCCTTCTCGCGAAGTGAGAACTGAATTAATTGAATGAGAAATACTCAATCGTCTGTGAAAATCTGTTTCCTTTTGGTTTTGTTTGCTTAATTTCTTTTATACATCGTTCTATCTTTATTATAGTATTTGAATAGAATATGTGTCAACGATTAGATAATTCTTTAACTGATATAACTTTTGTGCATTCTGAGTTATAATATGAACGAAATATAATACTGTTAAGTGAACCTAGCGCCAGAGTGTCTCTATGGTAAACAAATAACGTGAATTTTAAAGAATGCATTTATTCTATTGTGGGTTATGCGTTGTCGGCGAAGTAGATTTAATTCAATCCAATAAGTTTAAATAAAATGCAAGAAAAATTGCGTATAATTTAATATTCCGTACAAGAAAGTCATGTGGTGTACACACCAGATTTTTTATTAACAATCTCAATGATTTTAAAGTGAATAGCGGCAACACTCTACGAGAAGAAAACATTTTTATCTCCAGCCCGCAAGATTGTGTATCTGAAATTCCAAAGATATGCTCTTTTTAAATATTTTGTTATATTGCTGTTGAACCAAATTTTATGATTTAAGTTATTTTATGATTTAAATATTATGTATTTATTTAATAAATAAAAATAACACACAAAACGTTAAAAAACGCCCCGTTGGGCGTAATTTAAAATCTGAAAGCTTTCAGTTTTTTGTTTCTAATATATTATTATCCTATTATTATATTGATGTAATAAAGCGCGATCCTATTTAGGGCACACTCAATTTGCTTCGATGCAGGAAGAACTACTTTAGCCGTTCTATGAAACTTTTCAATTTGAATAACAAATAAAAAATTCATAAATTAATCAATTGATCTATGCAGTGAAATCTTATTAGCTTTTTCGAATTTCTGCAAGATTTCGCCTGCGATGGATATATCTGCAACACATTATAATTCATAAAACTATCTATAACGCATTACAATATCAATTTAAAAAATTCGAAAAAAAATCATAAAATTAGACAGAAAACAATTCTAAGTTATCATGAATTTTAAATAATATTCGGTCTTCCGAAGAAAAATATTTTTATGGATAGAATTTTTATTCAAAATCTACGTCAATGACAGAATATTCTTTTTGAGTTACATTTTACACTGATCATCTACTTCTGTTCCATACTTATTTGCATATCAATAAATCGAAAGAAACTTTTAACACCTTCATTTTTAGGTTTTTAAAGCGACAGTTTGATTTTTGCATATTTATCAATATTAAATTTTACTTATTATTACCCATTTATTAAGCCAAAACTAGCATAAATCAGTATTCTGAGCAATTTGTAATTTAAAAGTTCCTAGAGGTCCTACGACACATATTAGCTACATTCGCTTCGGATCTGCAGTACATTTTAGTTCAAGTTCTTAAACATGATCAAGTTGATTTCGTTTACTTGCTAACTATACCCGTAGTCTTTGAAGTAAATTCCAACTCATAATATACCACATTTTTTGATAACCTTTCAACATTAAAAAAATATACAGGCATGCATAAAAAATAAACAGTGCTGCTGTCGGATATTGGACCAGAGATCTTCCAGTTTCTAAATGTCAGACGTGTTAATCATTTACACCCCGAGAGCACTGTAATAATGTACTACTGTACTGTACTGTAATAATTCCATACAAATATAAAACAACATGTGGCCCTTTTAAAACAATCTTTTCGCAGATTTTAATTTAGGAATAACAGGTAAAAAAATGCAAAAATACAAAATGCAATAAGGAGTGTTATAAAACTACTTTACTGACAGAGAATATATATCAAAATTCCTTCCTTGTTATTGCTTTTTAAAATGGTGGCAGCACTCTTATTTTTCCACAGTATGATTGGAACGACACCTGTGCTTGCGACGGCGCCCATGCCATCTTGCACTATGAAGATTTTCGTAGGGGAGCCAGACGATGCCATCGTCGCAGAGAATGTCAAGATCGGGGACTTGCTAAGCCTCGTCATTAGCATCGACTTCCAAGGTAAACAGACTTTTCTTTTCCTCCTGGTATGCAATTGTAAACATGAAAAACAAAGCTTCAGGGCTATGTAATGAAACAGTTGTCTATCAGCTGTGTTCCGCGAAACTCTGAGTTCTTCGAGCAATTGAAAGACTTGCAGCCAGAGAGGGCTAGCTCCACTTTGGTAGATTTTGTGTTCATGGGTCTTTTCTGTTAAAACAAATCGTTCTTTGCATTCGAGTAACCGTAAAAGTTCAGTTTTACTAGCACTTTTAATGAGGACAAACGTTTAGAATATTAAGATAAAAAATTACTTTTTTAAGGGGACTCATACACCTTAAACCCCTTATGATCTTCGAATATGTGATTGTTGCAAGAATTGGGATATTTTATTTATTTTAAAAGCAATTACTTCCATCCTTTTACAGCTGACTACATAATATAGCTGCTTTGGAAACTAGTAACCAGAAAGTTTGTGCTTGCCACAAATATTTTTGTAAAATTAATCAGCTTTGGTGACAAAATTTTTCGTCATGTTTCCACCTTGCGCTCATGATATTTTTAAAAAAGGCTAATGGTACACATTCTTGAAATTTGATGGAATTCTTTATAAGGGCACTATTTTCTTAACTGAACCAAAAATTCTGATGAATATTTTAATATTAAAACATTTTATGCACGAAAACATTACAGATTTTTTTTAATAAAATACATTTTATAAACTCAACTTACCTAATTAAATAACAATTTAACATGAAAATTCTCAGATATTTTTTGTTTACAATAGTTTCCAAATGTTATAATAGTTATATATTAAATATGGAATTAAATTATGCAACAGAATGTTTTAAACTGTGCGCGCAACGTGGAAACATGACGAAAAATTTTCTCACAAAACGAATTAAATTATACAAATATTTGTGGCAACACAAACTTTCTGGTTACTATTTCAGAAAGCAGCTATATTATGTAGACAGCTGTAAAAAGATGGAAGTAATTGCTTTTAGCATAAATGAGTTACCCCAATTCTTGCAACAGTCACATATTCGATGATCTTATGGGTTTTAAGGTGTATGAGTCCCCTTAATTTCCCGAAAATTTAAAAGTGTGGAACTGAGCCTCTCTTGCTGCAAGCCCTTCACAGATAAAAATTAAAATTCGAAAGAATTTTTGAAACGTCTAAAATAATGAATTAACCGCACTTCTGTTTATTTTGTTAGTGTTTGTTGTAATTCAGCTTTTATTATATAATACGGGTTCATAGAGCTCTCTTAAAAAACTGCGCAGATAAATAGGAAGGAATTGGCAATTTATGACAATAAATGACAGCTCTATAACTATGTGAACAGTTATAAATAGACGGAGTAAAAACTGAGCTGAGAAAAGGAGAATTCCCCTTTGAGATACGGCAAATATCGTACATCACCAGTAAAAATGAACGCAATACTCAATCGCTTTATCAAACAGTTTCACATTCTTTTAATAATATGATAATGCATATGGTACTAATCTGAAAAATATTACGCTTTTCATAAACTTGAAAAGTTTATGGTTTGAGCATATCTTCTGCGGAAAATGTGAGCACAGTACTTCATCTTTAACCTCCCAGCTGCAATTAATTTAACGAATATTTACGGAATAACCTGTGAAAATTTTCGAAAGTTTAGAAAGTAGAGTGGCAACACATTATACTCTTCAGCAAAATGTAATTCGGACAAGAATAGAAGTCTTATTAAAAAAAAAAGAACTCTTCTCACAAAGTAATTAAAAAGCAACTATCGAAATGTTTCTTATTCAAGAGCAGGTTTTGTTTTAATAGAGTTATTTGATTCAGTGATAAAAATTAAGCTAGTCGGTACATTTTAGCTATAGTGAAAGCTTTTAGAGGCAATTCTCTGGAAAAACATTAATAATCAAATTAAATAACATAGCTACATGTGAATAAAACTGATTAATTAGAAATGTGAAAAACAAGAGTGAATTGTAATATTACCCCATTACAGATAGAAAGCTATAATTTCAGGAATAAAATAAAAGTATCTGGATATTGTAAAATAATTTAACTTCTCTTAAAGATATTTTAAATATCTTTCATTAAATTTTCTAACAAATATTCATTATATTTTCTAGGTAGTTAATTTTCGATATCTTACGCTACTTCAACGAACAATACCGCAAATAGTTTGTTATGCGTATGAAAGAAACTTCAGAATAAAAGTAAAAATTCAATTTTTTAAGGTATCAGTCTTTTAAAACCAACAAACTACTCATTTTTTGGAACAGTATGTACGGATTATTTTAATTTTTTAATAGTCATTTATAATCTTGGTAAACCTTTCCTTTAAATTCTTGTTTTCCACCTACAACTTCCTGCCTGAATGCGATTTCAGTATCGCGTTTTATGCAAAATGAAGTATAATCAGTAATTAAAGCGACGTTCAGTCACTTCCAGAGAACAACTCAGAAGATCTCAGTAGAGCGTATTCTATCTTCGGGTCCCGAACGCGTAATGGCAAACCACACATTGAGTTGATCAATGTTAAACGAATTTCGCTTACTGCGCATGGCCAAAAGAGAATTTGGCGCAGTTACGACTGTGGCGCAATTTTAAAAGAAGATAAATATGGTATATGGTTGATATTGTGTTACCTTGGGCGTAAACAATTCGAGGTTTTAAGTTGCTTCATTACTTGGAGTGTAAATGTCGATTGTAAACTATGCGAATTTTCTTTGAAAAAGGATTACCAAACAGGAAACATTACAAGATATATTAGCTGATTATACTTCTGAGGAATAAAAACAATTGAGTATTTACCATACGTTCTATTCATATATACTATATACTTTAACAAATTACGGATTAAATCTAGTTTAAATTAATGAATTAAAGGTCAAAGAAATTACTGTAAATAAATAATAGACTGTTGCAATTGTAAACAGTCGATAAGACCTACATGACGAACAGGCTTGTGTAGGGTTGCTTATGCTTAGTCGCCAGTATTTTCTCCCACGCCAGCGGTACATTACTGAGCATGCGCAGTAAGCGAAATTCGTTAACATTGATCAACTGAATGTGCGGTTTGCCATTAAGCGCCCCGAACGTAATAAACCTACCTTACTATGATCCGCCGTAGTCTTACGTACCTATTAGTATTCTCGGTGAGGTTTAATTACGGGCCAATTCAGTTAGCTTCGGCTAAGTTTAGCTAATTAGAATTATTTTAGTTCCTTTTTTTTCTATCCTAAGATAAAGCTCAAATGGAGGCTTTCCTGTAAGCCCGAGTTGCAAGAAGCCCAGCAAGCTAGAAGCCCATAGTTGCAAGAAGCCCAGCGAATAGTCGCTAGACACTTCACTGATGGTACGTGCCAAGGGCACGTAAATTAACTATAACTTAACTATAAATAAAGTAATCTTATGGATTCGCGGTTTTAGGAGGATGTCGATTCATTTCTAACTTTCACAAAATGAGTATTTATTATTATTATGTTTCAGAGTGTGCATCATTAACTATTTTGCAGATTCGTACTTTGACGTGGTGTCGACAGTATGTTTTGATTGCATCCTATGCGAAATGGCTATCAGCATTCAGCTTTATTTCAGAATGTATCTTGTTTAAATACAAATATTTAAATACAACTAAATCTGTATATTGTTATAAAACATAATAATTTATTGCTAAGAAAATGCGAAGATCTCCCCAACCAGCAACGTGAGTAAACAAAACTATGTGCGTAAAATATTAAAAGCGGAAGGTAAAAAGGATAAAGGACTACTACTATAAAAATGAATAATACATAATTATATAAACAAAACGATACTTCTTGAGATTAATCTTTTTTTCTATTCCCTTTCAGATGTGTATGGAATCAAAGTGACAAACTGCCTCGTGAGAGACGGTCTGAACTGGGGTGAACAACCTTTGATCAATAACGAAGGGTAATCACTTTCGATCTCATTACAATGAGTACAATGGATAACTGTTTTCAGAGCATTGTTGTGTATAATGAACGGCCATTGACAATGAATAGTTAAAACGCGATCGCGTGCAAAAAGGTTAACGCCTCTTTAATAGTCAAATGACAATATAAATCAAGCATGTGAAATTAGTTGGATTAATTTTATCCCATGCGTAAAAGACAGAAACATTAATGAATTTAGTATATCACGTAATAGTGATAATAAAGTAAATGTCATTTATAAATATGAAAAATAAGTGTAAATCTTTTAAATATAATAGTATATACAGTAAAACAATTATTTAAATAAATTTACTGAATTATAAGACTTATAAGCATACAGTTTTCCTGATAAGTGCAAAGAGACGCACACTAACGTTGTAAGATTTTCCTCCTTCTTTAGCGCGTTCTTTCGTGGTGTAATTGGAAAGCACGTCCAGCTAGCTTCGGAATTCGAATCCAGGCGAGGGCATTGGGCATTTTTCACGTCTTTACCCTCGATAAACTTAATGACTCCACAACGTAGAATACTAAAATTTGGCAGACGAACAATCTTAACTTTCGCTAACAGTTTTAACGTAAAATTTAGTCTATTTTTACTTAGTCTGTCTCTATATTTTCCACAAAATCTATGCTATTTTAAGACCATTCTGCCTGCTAATCTTTATCACTTAAGTTAGTTTCTTTATTAGTACAAAGGGATTTGAATCCCGAAGGACTATTAGTTTCGTTTTGGCATTTTGCGTCGGACGGATAAATGTCGGTTCACTTTTCAAACTGTTGCCATAAAATGTTAGAGTCCTGCATTATATTTGAAGAAATTTAAATAATGAAAATCTGCGTAAATGTATGTATATTTCTCACATTGTCATAAAATAACGGTACATAGAGTCATCGAATTTTGAATAACGTAATCCTCCAACGAATATGAGCATGTGGAAGACCAAATTTGAAATTTGAAATTTGTTTTATGATCGATTCCTATTTTTTTTTAAACTTTGACGAATTTTTGATTAACAAACTCAAGGATTTCAAAGCGAGCAATGGCAAAGTTGTGCATAAAAAACATTTTATCTCCAGCGCGTGAGTCTCTGTATCGGAAATTCTAAAGATATGCTCGTTTTAAAACTATTTTTTTGCGATATTGCTGTTGCACTGGATCTTATGTTTAAGTGCGAGGAACATGATATTTAATAAAGAAAGGTAACAACAAAATGTTAAAAAACGCCCCTTTGGACGTAATTTAAAATCTGAAACATTTCAGATTTTTTTTTTTTTTTAGTTGTTATTTAATTCTTTCATTAAGTTTAAATCAGGATTAAATGCCAAATTTCTATGTTTATGGAGTAATATAAATATTTTTCGTTTATTAGTACCAAGACTGTTTTGTGAGTACGGTAATATTAAAAGGATATTTGTTCTATGTATTTTACACATACAATACCAAGCTTTTTAAATTAATTAGTGTTGGAATATTGTTATCCTCAATTACTATTAAATAACTCTGTTAATTAATTATTCAGTCCAACTTTTGTATATCTTTTATTTCAACTGGGAAACATATTAAATAACAAAGCAGTTTACCTTATTCAAAAGCAAATTATTTTTTCTTGCGCAGAATGTATGATTATTTCCTCCACCAAAGATGGCAACGTTTGTTGACGAACTGAATGCAACAAACTTGCCTGTTTTCCCATAATACATAATTTTATATACTTTCTGAAATTCATTAGATCTATGTTTGTATACTTAAATTAGAAAACACATAATAAAAAATTGAACTTTAAAGTGTATATTTACAAAGTTTCTTTGATCAAAAAAGCTTCTATTTCCGCATAAAATATTAAACACAGCTAAAGTTAAAAAACTGCATTTTCGAGGATATCAGCAAGTAACAGTAGTATTCCTGACTTCACTTCTAGGTATTTATTTGGTGAGTTCAATTCTTCTAATTCACTTTATTTTATCCATGTGAAATCGAGTCTGAACGAATGATGTATTTTGAGGGTTATATTGACGGAAGCAAATGCATCATTTGTTTAGCCTCGTGTTACTAATATAATGGGATCGAAAAGAAGAATTAAATTTGCCAAATAAATACCTAAATGTAAAGTTAGGTTGTTTTGGTTCGTTTTGTTTGATAATAGCAAAGCGCTCCAGAGCTACCTGCTGAAAGGTAGGCATGCCTTCGTGGAGAACTTTCTAAGGGAAATTGGCTAGTAGATATTCTTGAAGTTGTCCACGCAAAGTTTTACAATTAGAGCGAAGAGATTATACTTGTGTGACCAATCGTAAAGTTCTGGTGTCTTACCCACTTCTACCTTTACCTACGATACAAATCGCAATACAACCTGAAATTTGGTCCAGTAGTGAAATCCAAGGTGGGAAGCAATCTTTGTAGACTGAATGTGTTCCTACTGTTGAGGCTGATAAATTCATATACAGCTGAATAGAAATTAATAGCGAAAAATTAATGTGTAGCATGTCAGAATGATGTTGAAGGCTCTTAGAAAAAAAATCTGATGTAGATACTATATGCTTTTTTACCACGTGCAATTTAATAGGCCTTATACGGCTTATTAAATTATACATGTTTTTGCTGCACTTCACTTAAACGTGATTCCTGGAATTATTCTAACTTGAACAACAGATCTTTCAAGGCAAGCGGAAAATGGCATCAAAAATTGCAAATTGTGAAATTAAATACCCCGGTCAATTTTTGCCGTATAGAAGACAAACTTTTTATAATTTTATTTTTTTCCTCCACGAGTATAAAACTTTCCCAAATATAAGTGTAAGAACTGGGAGACCGCATCATAAGTTACATTTCGTTATTTGTCCAGAACTATTTTTTTTAATTTGGCATTGCCAAAACATGAATATTTTCGTCATTTAAAGCAGTTCTATAATTGGAAGTATGTGACTACGACCAATGATAGCGAAAATAAAGGCCTAGTAGGGGTGGGTATATATATATATTTATATGTGTGGTGTGTGTGTGTGAAGATAAAAATCTGATGTGCACACCACATGACTTCCTTGTACGAAATATTATTTATACGATTTTTTCTTGCATTTTATTTAAACTATTAGATTGAATTAAACCTACTTCGCCGACAGCGCATAAACCACAATAGAATAAATGCATTCTTTAAAATTCACTTTGTTTACCATAGCGACACTCTGGCGTAGGTTTACTTAACAGTAATTATATTCGTTCATATTATAAATCAGAATGCACAAAAGTATATCATTTAAAGAATTATCTAATCGTTGCACATGTTAATACTATAATAAAGCTAGAACTATTTATAAAAGAAATTAAGCAAATAAAACAAAGAAACGTTTTTCACAGACGATTGAGTATTTCTCATTAAATTAATTCAGTTCTTATTTGGGAGAAGGCAAAAAATACATAAAACTCAAAATATCTCTATTAAAAATTACGAAGTATCTCAAACGCTTATTTCCTCGAAAAATTCCAGAAAGATTAGCATGATTTAATTGGCAATAATAAATGAATGCGTTATCTTTGTTATTGCGAAGCTAAGTTTCTCTAGATTGGCAACAAATCCACTAGTCTCCTGTTTCAAATGTAAACACGATGGCCGCCATTAAACAGGCTTAGCGGCAATTAAACAACTTTAAAATTGCTGATAATTCTAAAAATTGCACACAATTACTAAAGGCATAAAATCCTTAACCGGAAGATAAAAACAATATAATTCAATCATTTTTAAAAAGCACAAAATGTACAATTTACAAACATATAAGAGTAAAGAAACTGAGATCACACTGAGCCGGGTAACAGAGTGGATATATTATAAATATATTAATATACGTTTGGTGCGGGCCGATTGCAACCAAAATACGAGGTGCACATCTACATGTTATAGCAGTTCTATATACAAAATTTCAATGTTCTGAGGCTACTCGTTTTTGAGTTATGCGAGATACGTACGTATGCACGAACGTACGTACGTACTTACGCACGTACGTACATACGTTCGTACAGACGCAACGAAAAATTCTCTTCAGAATTAATTTTAAAGCAGTTTTATAATTTTTTTGGATGAAACGAGTCTTTTATTCTGTCCTTACGTACAGATATCACGCAAAAACATCGTTAAATTGCATTCGATAGCGGGCAAAATGGATATTTTCGTTGAAATATGCTGCCTGAAACTTTTCGCGATTACAATACTTCCTTTTTACTTCGTACAAGGAAGTAAAAAAATATATAAATCAACTTAATAATTTAATTTAATAATAGTTTTTTAATCTTTCATTTTTAATCTGCGTATTTCCTCTTTATTTATTGTAAAAAAATTAGTAACATTTCTGGACTGTGTTATTTCTAGAAAACTCTATTCCAGACCTTGCGTAACGCTGATGATGTAATTATTTCGAAGCCTGAACTCTGAGAACTAAAACCTTTCTAATGTAAACCAAAACCTTCCTTCTTTGGTGAGCTGCTATATTGGATAAAGGCGTACTTGGCTTCTGTTGCTGCTTCGACGTCATTTTGCTGTGTTTTGTTCCTATCGCTACAGTATTAAAAAATGTAAATGTTCTGAAAATAGGCACGATTAGAGTGCCAAGTGAATTGTGGCCTCAAATGTGAATTTAAATAAAAATGAAATTGGAACCGCCTCGACTGCCAAGTTTATTAGTCATTACGAATTCTACGTTCTAAGTATGAAGTAACAATGCCATCAGTATTTCTGCGTTTCTACGTCTCAGTTTTCTCCCTTCAGTACTTCTAAATTTTGGTTCTATATATATATATATATATTGAATGCTTTTTAAGAAAAAAATTCATTTTGTATCCTTTTTAAATTCATTTTACTACCGTTTTCCGAAAAAGTATTCTTTATTATGTGTCCGTACGTACTGACGTCACGCAAAAAAAATCTTCTAAATGGATTCGGAAACGCTCAAAATGGATAATTCTATTGAAATATATTATCCGAAATTTTTCGTGATTACGATGCTTCCTTTGCTTCGTATAAGGAAATAAAAAATTCAAAAATCAATACAACGATGGCAAGAAAAACACTGAAAATAATGAATACACAAGGGGGGGCTTAATGAATTAATGTGGAAAATAGAGGATTAAAGATACAAGTCATTGTTTCAGATCTTGATATTTGTTTGAAACAGTCCGTAAATTCATTTTCAAAGAACTGCATCTGAGTAACGCGTGCTCACTCACGGCTGTTGCCAAAATATTTGAACGAGAAACCTGAGAACTAAGTTGTCGTTTGTCAGTTTCTCTAATAATTGTCATACAATTGAATAAGAAACGAAATGCATTCCGAGAATTTCTTGTCATTGATGGATGACTTAGATGCATCATTTATCTTCCAAGATTTTAAACGTTCATCAGTACAATGTAAACATCCTTCACGGCCTTTGCTCAACTTAGGTAAAACATTACGGGAGATACCTATATTGCTAGATATGGCCACTTAAAATATTTCCTTGTTTGGGCCTGTCAAGAAACACTATGATTTGCACCGATTCTCTAATAATGTAACTCCCGTCGCACAGACGGTATAGTGGTTAAGGAAGCCTGACTGCATTACCGAAGGGCCCGGGTTCGAATCCCGGAGGAAGCATGGATGTAAAAATTGTCTGTCCTTTTCATAGGAAGCAAAGGTCGCCCACCTATTAGGTGCCTCCATAATAAAAAGACCACAACATCTGGCCGTAGGAGTGGCCGCCATTGGAAAAAATAATAATGTAACTCCTGTTGGTTTTCAAAATTTTAAATGATAATACAAACTGAAACAATTGTTTCTCGTTGTAAATTACATTCTTATGCATTTGTCCTCGTTAATAAGTTTCAGTGGTTATATAACAACAAGAAAGCCCGGCGGTTATACGAAATGACCGCTGTTCTAGATATTTATAAATTGTAATTAAAATTATTTGTGCAAAGGTGTCTGCTAATTTAAATTGCATTACCCAGGGCAGGCGGCGAGGACGCCCCTTTGCTTACTGCCCCAAGGGGTTTTCCCCTTCTACTTGTTTAATTGCTTAAAGTAGAGTGCAATGAAGGAAACCAATGGCGGTACATTTCTTAAGAACACACCGCTAGCTCAGTCAATAAAGGTGAATTTAAATGAATGAAATGTTAATTCACATGTCAAAATCTCTTTGTACACAACATTTCTTTTGTAGATCATTTCCATCATTTTTAAGCTCGCCTTGAGGACCTTCCATTATTTTTAATTTTACGTCCGTTCTTTCATGAACTCTTGAACAAGCAACATAAAGTTGACTGTGTCCAAATACAGGCTCAGGTAACCAAAATGCCAACACGCTTAAGCGTTTGGCCCTGAGGCTTATTGGATGGTCATAGCCAAGGCAAGTTTTACGAGGAAATTGTCTACGTCTCAATTAAAACGGCAACCCTATGCCGTGGCAGCTTCACCCCATTGACTAGTACAGTTAAGCAAGCAACCAATAAACTATCTGCGACAAACAGACACTTAAGCCGTATATATATATATGGGGTGAAGTAACATCATCTTCGAAACGGCTGGCTCCTGGGCTTAGCGAAGCACACCGTTGGGTTCCGCGGGTTCGTGGCTCACCATTTTGACCATTCGCATCTTCTTGGGACTTTAATTAGCCGAGATATTTAATTAAAAACTAATTTTCCCCAACGTTTTCCTATATTTTCCGCTTTCTTTCTTCGGTTTTCCCTATTAGAGGGATTTCGCTACGTGCCAAATTCTTTTTTCTCGAATATCTACGGAACGGCGCCGAGTTGAAATTCGAGAGGCGTATCCTCGGATTCCAAAAAAATTCTCCGAATCCATCGATACCATTCTTATCTTCGTATGACTTTAATCGGCCGAGATATTAATTAAAAACTGCAGAAACGTTAATTTCCGCGCTCATTTTTTCCGAGTGGCAACAATAAACTATCGGCGACACACACTTAGCCGCTTATACATATAAAGATATCTGGCTTTCAAAACTATAATTCTTAAGCGGAATACACAGTGCCTAAATTCATAAAACAATTTACCAAGGTACAGGAATACCAGTAAGTCTAAGCATTCATAAGCTTACTCAAAACAGTAATCTATGTCAGTTACCTTCAAAATCAAGCGGAGTTTTATTTAAAAATGATACCACTCTAAAAGTAGTCCTCCTTAACTGTACGTGTTGTAACCAGCGTGTGTTTTGTTTACATGAAAGTAACACATACCTCCAAATGTTAAAACTTGCAGTCTGGTACTTTATTTTTCTCTTTAGCATTTGAAAGATGCTACAAACTGACAACCTTTCTGTTTGAACGTATGAATCCACCAGAAATCTATATCGATTTTTATAATGCTAAGTAGTCATCTCTAGGCCTAAAAATGTGCAAATTATAAACAGATTATAAGTATTTACAGCTTTTATAATCAGTCTTTATTGAAACGAAAATTCGGTTGCGAAAAGATCATCGGAAATTTTCCTTTCTTATTTAAGCAAGAATACCCACTACGTAAGAAAAACAGGCTACTTTTTAGTAAAATTTTCTAAAAAAGAACGAAATACACTGAAGGATGCTTTAACTATCATGCATCTATTATTTTACAATTATTATTATCAGTAGATTTTAGTTTTAATACGTTGTACCATTTTTACCTGTAATGTGCAGTTCTAAGAGCCAAGCTAAGTACACTGCGGGAAAAAAAAAAAAAAAAAAAAAAGTCAGTTCTATATCTCCCGTTCTATTGGGCGCCGATTGACGAAATTCAAATTGCGTTTTTCATGTTTCGAAAGCGCGACTTAGGATATATATTAGATTTATATGTACCATTAATCCAACATATTTATTTTGACGCAAAATCGGACTTTTTCTGAAATGACATGCCAATTTGTGTCCATATTTCGATTCTATAACTCAAATTATGCCTAAATATTAAATTTTTTAAAATTTGGTTTGAAATTTACGGAGAAATTCAAAAATTTATCTTAGCGGATTTTTTTTCAGTTTGCGCCAGGAATAATGTACTTGGCGAACTTCTTAATTTATAGCAACCTATTTTCTATTCCTTTTTTTCGTTGTAGACGAGCGGGAAAAAAGTCATCGCTCGTACTTTTAATTAATATTAACAAAGTGGGTAAACTACATTTGGCGTTATTATCGCTCAAAAAAAAAAGAAAAAAAAAAAAAAAAAGATTACAAATTTCAAAACGTTCCAATGTGCAAATTCATGTATATCTTAGAAAATTTTGAATAAAAATCTCTAATTCTTTGCATGTGTGCCTAGAAATACATCTACATTAAGATGATGTTAAAAATTTTATAGGTTATAATACAAACCTTTTCGAAAATTAAAAAAATATTTAAAATACAAATTAAAAAATAAATCAATAAAAAATGTGTGAATTATATTTGGATTAAACCTAAATTTCGAATTCTGGAAGAAGGAATCAAGTAAAAATAAAAAAAAAGAGATAATAAATATATATCAAATTCAATTAATATGAGGAGCCAAAATGTTGTGAGCTAATTTTTTAAAAACTACTCTTACGATTTTTACAAATTTTGGAAGTTTGGCATAATTGAAGTCATAGAATCGAAATATCGGAAAAAAATTGGCAGGTCATTTCAGAAAAAGTCCGATTTTGTGTCAAAATACCTATATTAGAAAACGCTATATATAAATCTAACACATATCCTACGTCGCGATTTCGAGACATGAAAAATGCAATTTGAATTTCGTCAATCAGCCCAGTAGAACGGGAGATATAGAACTTTTTCCCCCGCAATGTACATATCATATGACGCTCAAAAGTTTTGTATTAATTATGTTAGTAATATATATACTTATAAAAGAACGAATCTTCTTGTAAATGTAAAATTTCGCTGATAAACCTGAACGGAAGAGTAACCAGCACAAACCGTAATTCAGTTAGCAAATATTGCCATTAAAAATATGCAAATCGCATTAAGAAATATATATTTTCTTACAAATTACCCATTTCGTTACACTGAAAAAAGAACGCATTCTCCCTGTTTAAAAAATAAATGAATCACACGGTCGAAGATTGGTCGTTACGAGGATATAGTCGTTTATTTTTGCCACAAAGATGTTATGCGTATACTGAAAACAGAAACAATTTAAAGTGTTAGACAATTAAATTTCAATCAATGTATTATTTATTCTTTCAGTTGTCCAGTGGATGAAGACATAATGGGTCCACTTGAATATGTCCATAATAAAACTCAAGCTCGAGTCGGGTTCCAGGCTCACAAATTTCCTTACACCTCTTCTGTGTATTACCAGTGCAATGTGAAGATGTGCTTGAAGAATGCAGGAGGATGTGATGACGTGGTAAGCTATCCATTTCACAGAATTTCACTGCAAGTAATGAAAGTAATAATTTCTTACAAGTTCCTGTTTCCTGCTATCCGAACTCCATAATGATTTAATCGCAGGTTAAAAGCTAAGTATAATAATCGATTCACCCAACAGAATCTAAGCCAAACACTGAAAGGATAATAATTTTTTAGCTAAGGTCTTATTCCACACTAGGTTTTTTAAAACGTAGACTCTAATACTTCCATTTTAAACATAAATAGGATGAGTTATAAAGTTTTTAAGTCTTTCTAAACTGCGACTAAATTTTTAGCGACTTATCGCTATGTCTGAAATACAACAGAAACTTGAGAAAGATGTAAAAGACCCTTTATTTCAAACTTAATCTTACAGGTCTGCTAGCATTTATGGCAAGAAACTCAAAGTAGAAATTCAAATGTGAAGGTAAGTTTAAATAATTAATGGCCAAAAGCTACACACAACCATTTAAAGCGAAATTGGCTCGAATTTCACCGGTGTAAATTTAGCTATCGGCAAGTATAATGCAAGGACGAAGACAGGAATTCTTGTCTTAAAATAGTAAACTGAGTAAGGTGGCCTTTAAGAGGCACAGCACGCTCTGACAACAATCTCAAACCCTCACTTAAATAAATGCGAATTCATTTGCATCCTGGCGGGAAAGACAGAAGTGACAGTAAAGATTCAAAGCATAAAATAACTGGTTGTTCAAATTTAAAAAATTCTCACAGAGTTAGAATAAATGAATTCATTGCATAATTAAGTTTCGATACTGAATTCATTTGTTGTTTGCTCCATTGATCAAAGCACCCTACAGCAGTTTGTTCAAGGGCAGGGATTCCTCCATGGAGAATTTTCTGAGGACAAAAGTATTTCGTACTCACGCTAAAGTATACAAAATCACGATTCACCAGATTTCGACGCTGGATCGAATTATGGGTGTTCATAGGTCTTAGCTACTCAGTCACCAGTAAACCACCAACAAAGGATTAAATTCATTTTGTTTACCAAGGCAAAGCCCATTAGGGCTATGATCTTGATTGATTGATTTAATTAATTCAAAGAATGCCAGAACTGTTTGACTAAGAAGGGAAGATGTTGTTGTTGTTTTTGTGACTAATCTCGCTTATCTGACGTCAGAACAAGACCAAGTGTAAGATTACGCTGCCGTTAGCAAAAGCCTTGGGCTCTATATAGGTGATGGTACGATTTGCCCAGTTCCACCCCAGTTTTGAGGAACAGCATCCCGGGGGGCATATTTCACAACTGTACATCAGCGTAGCCACTGAGGGAGGGGTTTCGAAAATGGATCAATGAGATTCTATTGAGCTGGTTTCTGACACTAAACCTTCGTGCATGTGAGCGTATATGTTGCCTATGTTTTAATTTGTATTTGTTCCGTAGTTATAAATATATTGCATAATAGTAGAAAATCTCGTAGAGCTTTCATTGTATGACTTTAATTAATCGCTGACATTTCACTTTCGCGATTTTTATCACGCATTAATATTTGGAGGAATTTCACGGCAATTATCGCCGACATCGAGAAAAGACTCAAGCTACATTAGTATCGATATTACATTTACTAAACCGTGGATCAAGAGAAGTCAGATAATATAATTACTGAGCTGAGTATGCTTGAGCTGAGAAGAATGGGTGGACAATGATATAGTGTTTCTTATTTCAGCGCTTGCTGCTTTGACTTTTAAAGGTAAGATCAACCTATCTGTTATATCCATATAACAATAAAGTAATGTGATTAATGAATATATCGTTGTGATACGATAAATCATTTGTTTGATAGTATTTTTGTTAGACAGGCGTCTAGATACGATAAATGTAAGGGAAATACATTAATAGATACGAATGCACTTAGTAATGGCAGTTGAATAAAATTCTGCATTGGCTATTATTATAAAACATCTTTTTCATACAGAATGCAATAAAATGTGCTGACTTCTATTTACGTATGTAATGGGTGTAACTATTTTTCACATATGCATAGTTTTATCTAAAGATAGTATTTGGGCTCAGATGTTTATCACATATTTCTTTCTCCACATATTTCCTATTATTTACCACTTATTAAATAATATTTCACATGGATATATTTGAGGAGTATCCAAGAAGTGTTTGTATTAATTTCAAATTCTTTCAACCAGGTAGTGAAATAATCACAATTGCTTATATTTAATCTAACTTGGCAATTTCTTATATTTAATCTAACTTGGCAATGAACATTTTCATAATAAAATTGGCGATGCTTTAATTATTTTTCACAGAAAATTGCGTGGCAAAATATTTTCAACCATCTTGCTTAAATCATTAAGCACGCGAAAAGTCATGTTGCCATGACGGAATTCCCATTGGTCCAACCTAGAAGCCACTCCCTCAGTGGCTACACAGATGTGCACTTGTGAAATAGGCTCCCGGGGGATGGGTCCAAGGGCCTACCAGCCCTACCACTAATCCACACGGGAGTACTTTCAGCTATCCATATATCTAGAGTGCCCTCATGCCGCAAGGACACTAAACATTTACAACACCCATTCCTTCTCCGGGATTTGAATTCGGACCCTTCGGTATGGTAATCAGAGTCACTAACCACTATCCTGTTTGGATGGTAGAATGTCTTGGAAGGTTCCTTAAAGGGAACTAGCTGATCTCACATTACATACGAAGATAAGTCAGAGAACGATCGGACAGCTGAACAGCTTGCCAGTGATTCAAATTTGGATCAAACGTCTCGAGTTTAGCGGTGTTATTCACTCAACAACTAAGTCTTATTTACTCAACCAAATGATAAACCAACTAACCAACCAAATAACAATTTAAAATGATGCACCAGACCACATGACATACATTTTCGGAAAATTTGTTTGATGTTTATTTTTTGCTTTAATACTCATCATTATCATCATGATGAGTATTGTAATACTCATCATGCATGATAATAATAATAAAGTATGATCACCAAAGAAAGTACGGCTTTTTTCTTTGATGTAGACTTTTTATTTATTAACGAAATGAAAAGTATAATTAGCAGAAAAATATTTGTTTCTTTTTTTTAAGTGCACTCCATTTTTAGCTTGTCGTTTCAAATTATGTAAAAGAATAAGTAGACTTTTTCTTGTATTATGGTAATGAAGATTAGCTCCTTCTTCTATAATTAGCATGAAAATATCTTTAAAAGACCCTGCACTAATTTACATAAATGCAGTGATTTCTGTGAGAAATAAAAGAGTATTCATTTAAGGTTTAAAAAAAAAAGTCCAGACCGAAATGCAGTAATAAAAAAATGTAATAGCCAGACTTTTCTTTTGCATACCGAGTAACTGCTTAAATACGAACAATAATAATTTACTCTCTTAACTCTTCTGGAAAACCTTTGTCTAAAAATAACTTGAAATTAATGCCAATAGAGAATTTTGCATGTGTACGTCAACTCCTATTAATTAGCATCGTTAATTACTGTCATCTTCATTTAACATTTTTTCATTTTTTAAATTCTAATGAATTTTTATTGGATAATATTTTAATAGCTTTCATGGTTATTTAAATTTTCTCCAAAGTGATCATTATTCTTTCTTGTAATTTTTGCATTTTTTATTCTTTGCTTTTGTGACGCAATTGGAAATTAGTATAATTTTCTTACACGTTATTTCATCTTGTTCGGACGTTTTTATTATTATAATTATTGTAATTATTTTCTTACATTATTTTATTCTGTTCATTTCATGCACTTCCTTATTTTGTCATGCATATAGATATTTTTATTTTTATCTTTTCTTTTTCTGTTAGGTTGTTTTCCACTTAAGCAATCTTTTTATAATTCTCTTACGCTGTTCGTTTCTTCTTTAATTTTTCTTTTTTAATCGCAAAACTGAAAAATCTTTAATTTATTCAAAGAGGAGTTTACAGACAAAATAGTTCTTTTAGATGCTAATTATTTGTTATCATATATTTAGATTCAATTAATCTTTTTTAAATCGAAAAATGATCTTTGAAATTCTAGAACTGAAACAGCAGCTTTTGATATAAAACACGACATTGTGTAATTAGACAGTCAACAATCTAAGATATAAATAAAGAGAAAATATATATTGAAACCATTCATATTACGATCCCTTAGAGCTATGTAACGAGATAAATATAATATTTAAAGGAATTAACGGTTACGTTTACTTGGAAAAGGTCTTTGGAATTTCTGTTAAATATTATTTGACTGGAAAGAAAACAGGCAAGATTGGGAAGGTAGCTGGCAATTTGGTGAGTCGTTTTTGCCTCTAGGAGATCAGAAAACCACATCCTGGTCTTTGTTATTGCGTACCGGATGGATATCCCCCTGCTGTGTCTCAAAGACTATGCAAGTAGAATTCATTTCTGGGAATTCTACTTGCATTGTATCCAGAAGGGCTTCTGACATTTCCACAGAAAAATACTAGCTGCCAGAGAACAAATCGGAGATCCTGCACTCTCGTACCAGCTTTGCTAGTGTTGGCAATATATCCGATTGAGTCTTTTACTTCCCAAATAACTATCCGTTATGTATGAGATGGTCATAGATATTAGTAGATATTCAAATTTGATTTTACAAAACACAGACGTTCTGGCTATCACAACGAATAACCTTCCATCATATGTAGCGGTCGCAGAAACTCCGTTTTTGAAGAGGCGTAATTGTAAAAAAAATAAAAGTTTTGAATTCTGTCAAGGAACGGAAGTAGAGACATGGATATCTAGAAATACTATAAAGCAGCAAGTTCGGAAAGAAGGAAAAAGGAGGATGAAGTGAAGGTTGGTGCTTATTGTTGAATGCCTACTCAGTGCGGGTTAAACGAAGGCACAAGTGAAAGTAAGTCACAAAGCGACATTTAAACAGCAAGTGGTGGTTTTGTACAAGAAGAGGTAATCGAGAAATAGAAGAATTGTTTGATGTTGACGAAAAACAAAAACAAAACAACAACGGAAAAAACACGTAGCGGAGCATTTAAACA